GTGTGTTGTAGAGAGTCAGTACAAACAGTAGATGGAGATACTCTCTAATACAGTATTTCAACACAGAACAAATAATATCTGAATCTACTTGTTCAAGACATATTGCTTTTTTTTGAAATATTTGTGTTTTCATATTGATTTATATGAAATCATTTATATTGAATTATCAGTGATGATTTGTTTCAGTGGACAGCTGGTTCTTCTTTTCTTTTCAAACTCTATAACAAACATTTTTTAACTCGACTGGAGAGATAGCTGTAATGTACTTATAGCTTTAGTGAAAATATCTATGCAGCTTTAATTCATATTTTGACTCTTCAACATGCTTTTAGAAAGATCTTGATTACTTTTGGACTTGTCTGATTTGCCTCCAAAGCCTTGCTTGCTCTCTTCACCTCCGTCTCCTCCTCCTTTCCCGTCCAGCCTGAGCTGAACAGCCTGCAGCCTCCTCCCCCTCACTGCTGCTTCTTTGGCTCTGGTTCCTCCAGAATATTCTTTGCATAGTCGTCTTTATTTTCTTCTTTCAAAAGACGAGCTCCTGAAAAGAAAAAGGCCCTGTTTCATTTTGAATAGCTGAATTAAGCGATTCTAATGCAAAATTGTTCCAGAGAAAATATATCCTGTGAAGTATGAGTGCTATAAACATTTACAAAAAGCATCCCCTCCTCCGTCTCTCATCACGACGTCCTCTTTTTCAGGCCCACAGCTTTTCCGCCTCCTCCTGTCTCCTCTCCCGGCTCTGCTTCCTCTTGAACCTCTCTCCCAGAGCATTGCACCTGGTGACGCTATGCTTGAGTTCATTTTAATTTCACTCTCTATGATGCTGATCACATTGTCCTCTGTCTCACACTGGTTTGGATTGGTCTTCGTGAAGGAAGCCTTCATCCTGTCATAATCCTCCATCCAGAAATCTGCACGGAGGCTGTCTCCAAGTGAAGACAGCTCCCTCGCTCTACTCTCCATCCCTCCTTCTCATGTTGTTATCCAGTGAAGCCATGCTCAGATGCTCCTCAGTGTGAACTTCCTGTCCGTCTCAGGACAGCCCCCCTTCTTTCTCTCTGATTGTTTCCTTCATCTTCGTGTTCTCACCCTTGCCTGCGTCTTTGTGGCCTCTGGAGTCCTTTCCCTCCTCTTGATGTTCCGTTAATGTGCGGCAGACTCTCTCATCCTTCAGTTTGTGTTTTGCTTCCTGCAGGCCGGCACACTGCTGTCACAGTCGCAGTCTTCTTCAACTGAAACACAGGCCTGTGTGAGGAAGCACGGTTGATTTGGATGAGATACACAATGCATGTGCCGACTGTGCATGTGATTTTGCCATTCTGCAGTGGATCCATTCTCCTGGAATATTTTAACGTTAAAAGCTTTTAGCCAAAACAAGTCAGTCCCATAGTCAGTGGTGGAAGAAGCACAGATCCCTTTATTAATAAAGACAATGTAGACACTACATTAGAGGCGCAGAAGGGAACATTTACAGACACAACATACAGTTTAATGATCTGTTATCTGTCAGTAGTAGTAGTGTACATGAAGCAGATAATATCAGAATAAAATCTTGCTCCTCTGCCTCCACCCACTGCTTTTCCTGTGATTTGGAAGAAAGCAATGCTCCTGTTTCTAAACATCCAATCGGAGACAGGAGGAGTGCCTGTTATGTCAATCATGACTCATACAAAATAATGTTTGTGTCTGTGCAGGCCCAGGTGACTGCTAATGTTGTGGTTTCCTACACACTATAAAGTTAACCACACGTCTATTCCACAGGCATTAGCCCAGCAAGCTGGAGTACTCCAATATGTTATATGTGTATAAAAATGAATCAAATGCCTTTTTATATTTTGAATTGTTTGTATATTCCCACCCAAAAGTTTCATTTGGAATCTTGACGGTAATGTTTGTATCCAGTGTACCCAGTCTCTGCCTGGTGAATGTAAATCAGGGGGAAAGACTCACGCCAGCAAATAGATTTATCGTTATGACAGAAGTGTGAGTTTTGTATACTGCTGTAGAATCTACAAAACTTCGGAATAGGAAGTTACATTGTGTTCATTTCAAATCTGGTGTGAGATAAAGAGTATCCCTTTTTGTGTTCTACAATAATTGTATTATTTGAGAATAATATATATAATATAAATGTACTGCATTCAGTTCCACAATGTTCATTGCTCCCCAAAGCTATGCAAATTACAGGCAAATACAATGATGAATTGATAGAAAATAAATACAAATAAACTGTTTGATAGTCAAATATATAAGATCAAATTAACGTGAATTTCAAAATCCTGTCACGGAGACTCTCTCCTGTTGTGTTGTTTCAATGGTATTTAATCAGGCCCAAACAACAACAACGGCAACAGCGCCCCGCTGCGGAGGAGGACCGCGGTGGACACTGACCCGACGACCAGACAAGCTTTCGGCAAACTTCGCCTTGACTCGTGCACGAAGGAGGCCGAGAGGTGTTGTGCGAAAAAGTGCTCCTCCGCCGAGAAGCTGCCTCTCGTCCGCGGGAGCGCGGACGCAGTCTGTTAAAGTTGTATCGCCCCGTGTCTGCGCGTCTGGTCTGCAGCTGCTTCTATATGAGTTAATCCTTCATCATACAACACACATGAGTTTATTATTATATGTATTTATACAAACAGCTGACGTGCATCACATCTGAGGCCATGTTAGTTAATTGGAGACATGACAGTGTTGTGATCACGGAAAAATCCATTGTCACCGATTGCATTTTCTGCTATGATCTAGACTGTAACTAACAAGATTCGCGGATGGGTTACAAATAAAATAAAGAAATTATATATTATATTATATATATATATATATTATTTCTACCTGCTCTTGCTCAAAGTTAATAATCAATCCTGTCCGAAGAAGCATGGACGTTTGAAATCCACAGTGTGATCACACATACAGATCTTGGTTGTTTAATATAAACTATATATAATAATATTTCATTTAAGTGTGTGTATTAGCACGGTATTGCGGTTTGATCGGCACGATACGACTTTAACACACCGCGCGCGCACTGACGCCGATCGGCTTCTAGCGGACGATCCCTTTTTCTGCCGCAACACCGGCGCGGGGCACTGTCCGGAACATCCGGCTGTGGCTCCTCAACATAAACAGCTATGGCGGAGGCAGCAGCAGCAGCGTCCGCGGCGGCGTCAGGAGTAACAGGAGGCTGGACCAAACACGTAACCTGCAGGTGAGACGACACCAGCGTCGGTCCAGCTCGCCGCAGATAAAGAAACGTTCGCGTCGCGGTTGTTTTGTCACCGCAGCGATGAGCGGCTGTCAGCGGCGCCCCGAGGGCTCAGCTGTTAGCTCGATGCTGTAGCTCCACTCCTGGTGCTGTCTGCAGTGGAGGCTCCGCGGCCACTAGCTTCGTTGTGAGGGGTAAACACGGTTAGCGGTCGTGTCACACCGTGACGCTGGGCTACCTGTAGCAGCTGTCACACGAGAACAACCGCGCGAATCATTCACGCTAGTGGCGATTAGCTCAGCGAAGCTACACTGGGACTGTAACACTGGCACCTGCTGTGTGTTCCACACATCCAGACTCGGCGAGCTGCCCTCACGAGACCAATTGTTTGTTGACACCGTGCCACGATTAGTGCGCCGGCTCTGAGAAACGTGAAAGACGACATTCAGACTCACTGCCATTCCTTCTGGTTGTTAGAACACACGTGAGGTTTTTAATCCTTGTTTTGATTTTTTTTTTTTTTCAGATATTTCATGCATGGACTCTGCAAAGAGGGAGAAAACTGCCGATATTCCCACGATCTGACCAGCAGCCAACCTGCAGCCATGATTTGCAAGTTCTTTCAGAAAGGAAACTGTGTGTTTGGGGACCGTTGCAGGTAAACACACACACACACACACACACACACACACACACACACACATTGTTAAAAGTTCAATATTTGCTGCTAGATTAAGTGAAGTGTGTTTGGATTGTTTGCGCTCAGCCGACGTGTTTCAAGTGCACCCAGCTGTCAGTGGAGCTGCACGACAACTTCCCTTTCTAAAACTGGCGTCTGCGCCCTCGGCCAAGTGACAGCGCAGCAGCTCTGTGGCAGGGCTTCCAAGAAGTGTTTCACTTTGCCCCTCAAGTGCATCTGACACCCGAGACTGCTCCTTCCTGAGGTCAACATGTTGTCGGTCCGCGTCTGCACCGACTGCAGGTTGTCGCTGTAGGTCTGAGGAAGTGAAATCGCTTGCCCGTGGTGTTACAGCAGTGCACATGATGACATATGCAAGCTGAACTTGAGTGTTTGTAGAGCTGGCGGAGGTTTCATTGTGAGAGCTGAAGCGTGCTTGTGGCTTTCTCACCTTAGTAGAAATGAAAAGGACCAAAATTCCAATACAGGCATGATGCTTCCAGGCTGATGGAACACAACCAGTGACTCGCACGGACAGGATTGGCACAACTCATGTCCTTATCCATATGAAATCTGTGTGGCCTGAAAGATCAGAGTGGCACATGAGGTTGGTTTTGGGTTGGTTTGAAATTGAAAACAAATCAGACTCACACATAATAAACAAAACCTTCATTATCTTCAATTCTATCAAATGTAGGAGGTCTGAAGTATATTTTCTAAACATATCTCTCTGTCAGGAAGACATAAAAATAGATTCTCCAACCCGGTTTTGGCACACAACACATTTAAATACATTTTTGTGTCCTGTGAATAGTTTTTTTTTGAATTAGCTGTTTTGTTTTGAGAGTTTCATCTGTGTTGTTCCTGCCTGGCAACATGCAGCCAAGTATTCATTTCACAGCACTTTGGGCAGTGTGTGATCTACAACTTGCCTTTATAAGGTAATCTGTGTCAGTGGACATGATGTTTTTTTTCAATGTCAGATATGCTGTCATTACATGTCTGGCTACAGACTTATCAGAGAGTAAAAGCAGACACAGTGTTTCAGTGATGGATTGTCTCACAGAGATTTCTTTTTGTCCACATTAGAACTAAGCCTTTGTTGACCTGTGTCTTCCTGACAAATCTGGAACACTGCGGTATCTTTAATATATTCATCAGTGTATATGTATGGGCTCAGACATTCAGCGGTATTGTCCTTTGAGAAACTGATTAGGCCTGTTGTCAAGCTTGAGTGTACCCAGACAGCAGCAGCCAGCTTGTTCAGACAGCGTCTGCTCCGTGTCTGGCTTCACGAGCATCCCTATAGTTACCGGGGCACTTGTAGGACCACCCCAACATCACCAGGGACGCATTAGTCACCCACACACTTGACCGTTTTCTTCAATAGTTGGTATGTTGCCTTTAGAAAGCCTTCAGCTGAGTGTGTATATCACTAAGCTGCGGCTGTTGTTGTTGTGTTGATAAGTCACATTCCTCCATCATTGTGATGGAACTGCAGTAAGGAAGATGTCCTCATTATGTCTGTGACCCCCATGGGGCTGGGCTGCCTGTATTATGAGTCCTCAGAAAAGCTCTCAGTGTGGGGGTCTATTATGGTTGAATTCCCTGAGCTCGATCTATTGTGACTGGCTCTGTCTCGCTCTCTCACTCTGTCTCTGTGTCGCTCTCGCTCTCCCTTCTCTCTCTCTCTCTCTCCTGCAGCCCCCAGGGCCAGACAGAGTGCACTGCAGCCTGCATGGCAATTGCATAACATTCTCTGTTTCCCTCCTGTTTTGTTTCTTTGAGCTGCACACCCCCCCCCCTCGCTCCTCCTCCTCCCTCCCTCTGTGCTGTTGCTGGGTTCCCCAGGTTCACTCCACTGCAGCACCCTCCTTGCTCATTTATATATGCGTAACTCCGGCGGCCCTCCTCCCCTCCCTCCTTCCTGGGAACAGACTGGTTAACAGTGTGTTGCGATGGCGCTCGCCATCATGGAAGCTAGAGGAGAGATAGGCCAGGTCTTCCTTTTGTATGACTGTGTGCACAGGCTGTCATGGGCTGTTAGTCATGCCGTGTTATAGCCATGGACTTGACTTGCTTTCTATAATGAGGCCGCTCTTACACAAAGCTCCATGTTGACAGTTGAGGGTGTGTTCTCATCAGTGGTGCTCCATTAATCATACCATAATGTTCAGATAGTATATGGTATAATGGTTCTGCTGTGGTTATATCAGCAGGAGGAGTCGCTTTTTAACACTCCTCACTTCTCATTTGCTCGATTAGAAAATGTGAAAAGTCTGACACACACCACATGACAAACTGTGCATGATCAAATTGCTGATAAAAAATGGAGAGAGAAAAAAATGACACTGTGAAGGAGATGGGAGAGTGCGAAAGTTTTTATTGGACTTTATTATTTGTAAGCTACAAAAGACAGCCTGCAAGACAGTATTGAAACTAGCGTTAGTTTAATGGTGGGTGCTTTAATCATTTCACATTTAAGTATTCTATAGGGTAACCGAAATGCGGTATTCCTGAGGGCTTCATAAAAAAATACACAACTATGCTTTTAATATATGTTAACAAAGCTTTCTTTAACAACTCCTATAGAGTAACAGTATGTTTAACATGAAGAAAATACATTACATACAAGATTGAACACTGGCTGCAAACTTCTCAAAAGTAGTAGATATTTATTTGAATGTAAATGAAAAGTGCATTGTGATAAACTCTTAAATAGTAAACTATGTAAAGTTTAGATGAAGATAAGAACCAGAGAATTAGTCCAGGTAGTCAGCAGCTAGAGCTGTGGAAATGTCTCCATTCCAAGAAGCATTTATTGATTCAAAGAAGTCAATCAAAATTTAAAACACAATTCTCAACATCAACAATTATTATAAGACTTACTTCAGTTATTAGAAGACTTAGCTCCATTGTTTCCTCTTTGGTTAAAGGATATGCTCACAGGCCTTGTCTTGCACCCATGCAAAGCAGCGCAAAGCAGTATGCAAATGTGTTTTTCGTTTCAGACAACATGCTTTTCCCGTTCAGCACCCACATTGTTTAAATATACAAATGCACTTGCACGCATATGAGCGTTCATGGACATGTTGGTCTTAAAACGAGGTGTCCTCCGATGCATTGTTGACACTGCTGCTGTCTTGAGGCAGAGAATGTGTGTGCACAGGTAAACGGACAAACCTGTTTTGAAATGAGAGGTGCAGTTATTTTGAGGATGCATTTACAAGTACGTGTGTGTAACTCTACTTGTTACACACCGGGACTTTCAGCAGTAATGATAGATGAAACTGATAAAATTCTATTTTACCAATTGTGAAAATACGCGGGTATGTAAACAGACCTGTCAGGTACTGAGAACACTTTACTCTGGTCAAGCATTGAGAATGTTCTTTCTTACTACTTGAGTTATCTGGCACTATGTGTGGCACTCTGAGTGCTTTGCTGCATGTTGCATCCAAAACCCATAATAATGAATCGACTAAGTACAAGATTTCTGAACCATGTGCCTGCTAAGCCCCTCTGATTTTAAATTACCTCAAATTACCTCAAAAAACCCCTCAGGCAGTGCATCATTATGAAAACATTTTATTTTTTACAGAAAATAATTTAGAAATTGTGAAAATACATAGATACAAATTTAGACATTATTGTATTTACTCCTAAAATACAATTAGCCCTAGGCATTAGTCAGCCTCTGTAACTGACATTCATTCACTTGTACACAAGTACCACAGCTGACACAATGTTAAACTGTAAGCCCAGCACATTCACCTGGAGTTAACATTAACGACGCTGAATCTCGAATGTTGAGTTACAGCTCCGCTTCTACAGACGTGTAGATTACAGAGGTGATATTACACAATGGAATGTTTTAGTAAGATCAGATAGAGACGACTTGCTGTTCAGTAAATATCCTGTATCATCCAGACCCTTTCTGTACTCTGTTCCCCAGACTCCATCCTCCTGTTGAAGTATAAATAGCAGATGACTGATGGGGTTAGTTACCAACTAATTCCACTATCAACTAACATCCGTCATGTCAACAACAAATCAATAATGTTAGTTGGCCAAGGTTTCTAACATTATCCTTGCTGGCTTGTTTGGCCTGCAGAAATGTCAGGTTTGTAATTACCTTCAGTAAGGACGATATGGTTTCAGCTGCATTGCTTTGTTTCTCTGGGTTGTTCTTTCACTTTTGTTTAACATGTGAGATATGGCAAATATGTGTTAATCTCAATGGAAAAATTCAGAGGATTTGGGGGATGCAATTTCATGCAAATATGAATCTGGGTCAAGGTAATTAAAATGTGTTTTTTTTAAGGGATAAAAGCTTTTTCCAGCTGCTGTATGTTAACAAACGGGACTAGAATTCTCTAAGTACCACCAACATGTAGCTGATGAACGTAATGTGACCTTAGCTATAAGGTTTGTTTTTAACATTAGAGGACGGTTAGTGGAGATATATGCTTCTAGTGCAGTTCTAGTTTATACTGTTGTGTGTGCACATGTGTGTGTGTGCACATGTGTGTGTGTGCACATGTGTGTGTGTGTGCACATGTGTGTGTGTGTGCACATGTGTGTGTTTGCCATGTGTGTGTGTGCCATGTGTGTATATTTCTGTGTTTGCATGTTTGAATATGAGCATTGTTTCCTTGATCTAGCCTCATATTTATTGTGGAAAGTTGCGACAACGATATTCATGACGATATAGATAAGAAAATACTGGACAACGTTTGACTGGCGACTGCAGCTTGCAGGCAGCAGCATTTATTAGTGCGAACAAACCAAATGTTTTAACAGCCACTGGATAATCTTTTGTCTTTCTGTGACCAGTTTGTGCTGAGTTGGCCTATTTCCACTTGAGCATCCCAGAGCGCCCGCTGCTGCTTCCAGCAGTGAGCAAAGGCAGGCACAATCTTTTTTCCAACTCTCACTGCTCTGTCAATCCTGGGTCCTTCACACTCCTCTCTGAAGATAAAGAACGATAGTTAGTCTCTCTCCCTGTCTCTCTCTCTCTCACACACACAGACACACACCAGATTATCTTTTTAGATATATTACTGTGGTGGCTGCACTTTCCATCATCAGGTTTAAAACGGGTGGAATCAACAATCTATTATTTATGATAGTCTAATCTGTGCAATAGACAAATGAAAGCACATTAATAACACTAGTACATATTTTACAAAAAGGAAAGGTAACATGTTTTACAGCTAAAGGCAGGAACTATTGCCCATGCCAATATGACTCATGGAAATAATTGTTTGGGGAGTGTCTGCTATTATAAATAGGCTTTGAAGTGGGGGTTATAATAGAGGATTATCATTTTTGGTTTTGGTTTAATGGTTAATGAAACTTACCAATAGCAAAGTGCAGATGATGGGCAAAGCATGACAGTGTGGTCCATTTATTGAGAGCGATGGCTTTGACCACATCGGCCCCGCTGTCTGTTGTCACACACCTGTTGGTCCTCTTCCACGATTTAAGGAACGCCCTTAAACCACTCGCAATATTTTCACCATCCCCGGGAAAGAAACTTGTCTCAAGGCATGGTGCACGGTCAGGATGATGTATGGTTCCGCGGTTCGGCTCGACCTCAGGTCTGTGGTTGAGGCAATAAAAGTAGGCTATGTAACGACATCAGGACTTTCCATCCACCGTTTGCTCTTCCTGTCACGCGGAGAGCCACTAGCAAGAGCAACTAGCGATGCTCCAGCGATGCTCGGTTGAGTCATTTGTTTACTGTTGGGCCACACATCACCAGCTGCTTGTGGCCCCTGCTCACGTGCCTTCATAGCCTGGACTTGTTTTTCACTTCAAATGTTGAAACAAGTTGAATGTGTTTCCACCTTCAGCAGTAACAGTTCTCTTGTATATTTTGCAATGTATTGTACTTTGTTGGAAGTCTGAAGTCATCGGAGGCTGACGCGCTGCTCTTGCTCTCAGACATGTTGTAACAATGTTGTGCGCGCTAAGGAACATAAGTGCACCATACATCATTGCGTCGCTATATCATTAATATTGCGATATTACACTTTTTATTATCACAGAATAATTTGTACCTGGACGGTATAATATGGCACAGCCCTAGTTAGGTTACAGCTGTAGTGAACCGTTGATGTCCTCAAATGACCTGAGCCATAGATTAGCACACTTCAACAGAGAGGAACTTGACCTAGGGTGTGTTCATCATGTGACATACCAGCTTTATGTCCCGGACGTCTTGTACATTAAGTAACTGTACAGTACGTAACATTCTAAAGTTATTTTTGTTGAATTATACTCCTGAACATATTTGTGGAGAGGTGCCTCCAAGGGATTCCTTCTGCAGGCAGTAAGTGAGCTGTCAATAAATATGTAGTACGACTCCTCATGCAGCGAGGCTTTAACACAGTGTTCGCTGCTGGAAGACGTAGCTATGGTTAGCTCACAGGATGGGAAGCTCCCGTTACCTGCTGTACTTGAGATCACACACACAACAAGTACGTAGGTGAGGGACTGGGTGGAGCATGATGGAGCAAGGTGACTGAGGAGTAGTTGGAGTACAGTTAGCGTTCTTAATTACATCAATTAACGAGGTAATTTGGTTGAAAGTCTTCAAGACACTTCAGCGTTATGGTGATGTTCTGAAATGACTTTTGTAGCAAGCTAAAGCCTTCATGGTGTTAGGGCTAGATGGTGCTATATTAATTTAATTTCTAATAAATATATTATGCACATTTTGCACATTTGAACAATACAGTGATTATAGTGATAACAATAAGTCCTGGCACTCAATAGTGCAACAAAATTGTCACATTTTTATGTTTATTTGAATATATATATATATATATATATACACATACATTCATAATTGCAAGCCATGTGTCATTATTCATATTAAAAGTACCACAGATAATTGTGTAATAAATGATGATTTAAAAACGCAGAGCTAAAGCTGGAGGTACAATGGCTGCCTCCGTGCTCACCTCAGCGTGGTTGGCCACGTGTAAATGTCCGATTATCTGTTTCAGTTATAAAACTGTTTGCCCACGGATTATGTGGACTACAACCTTATCCCACCATTTGACACGGAGTCCAGAAGGTGTATAACTCTCACTTAACTATAGCATTTATTTTGGTAATGTAGCCCATGTATATGTTAGAGTCCCCAAAGAGAACCTTCGGGATGTTTATCCCAGATAAAGCTACTTTACTAGCTCTGCACTAAGGTTTACTCATTAGAATATTATAGTTTTTTCTTTATCTTTCAGGCCAATCACAATAGATTGTTATCACAGCAAAAATGAGCACTCATTCATTCATATCACTGTCATGTACAGACAAATTCAACATTATGTGCTGTCGTCTTGTCCATGTTCTTTTCTGTCAAATGGACATGACATCACTCTGTGCCTCTAATATTTTGACCGTGGCCCCTGAAGGATACTGTGTCTGTCTTAGGTTGTGAAACTGTAATCCTCTGCACAGCGAAAGACTGTCGAGATCAACCTACACCTAAAAACAGCCCAGCCCAGGAAATGCCAGTTTACATTCCAGTTGCATGCCTTATTATTATTATTTACAAGGGGACGAGGAAAACTAAAATATTCTTTTAACTGTAAAGTACTGGAATGGACAGTTGAAAACAGTGTCACTAAAATAATGCTCTGTTCTGAACAAACTGTTCATACTTAAGGTCAAACTGAGTCCAGTATCTTGGAGTTGTCCTTGTCCTCTGTGTCTGTGGACTGTCGTGTCATTGAAGTCTTAAGGCACAGATAAGGCTGAGTTTTAATTACTGGTTGCAAAACAAAATGCACACTGTACTGCTTGTTATTTTGAAGCTTACACTCTTTCATGTGCATGTTTCGGGTTGTCCGTCTCATTCTTGTGAACACGGTATCTCAAGAATGTCTTAAGAGAGTTCCTTCAACTTTGGTCCAAATGTTCACTTGGACTTAAATCACCTGTCCTTAGCCTAACTTTGATGTTCTCACAGATTATATAAATATGTACAGTATATATATATATATATATATATATATATATATGTATATACTGTACATATTTATATATATACATATATGTATGTATACACTACCATTTTTTAAAATTATTAGTACAGTTTAAATGAATGAAAACTACTTACCTGGAATCTCAAGGACAGCACTGTTTTATTTTATTTAATCTTTATTTAATCAGGCAGTCTCATTGAGATTTCCAATCGCGTTTTCAAGAGAGACACAGAACATTCACAACCAGCAATTTAATACAACAAAAGAAATCAATAAATAAAACTAACACAATGAGGACTAATTAAAACAATTACAAGAATCATTAAAATCTCAGATAACGCAGTTTTAAATTGACCAAGGGGAATTTAAAATTTAAAACTGCAGCCGTACACATTGCAGCTCATCGTCAGTGTGAGCGTAGGGGATACTGTATCTGAGGTGACGTAGTTTTAAATGAGAGAAGAGATGTGAGGTAGTTTGGAAAGGCCTCCAGACCTGCTGTTTTATGTTCAGGTCGTGCTAACTGCCGTTTTCAAAGGTGAAAGGAGGCTGTAAATAAAGATGGGCAACGCGCCTCTACTTCCTCGCACTGTACAAAAGTGAAGTTTATGAGCTAAAACTAATGGCAGGCAATGTGGAGGAGATCAAATTTCAGTTGACAGACGGGGACACGGGATGGTCAAATGGACTGAGGGACTCATGCTTTCCAAGAAAACACAATCTGAGCACAATAACCAATAGACTTGGCTGCACACTTGTTTATCATCCATACTGCTACGTTTGTAGGTGTAGATTCAGTAAACCTGGGTTGCACATATTTATTGTCTCAAAATGACGATTTTGTATCGTCAGCTATCAACTTAGGTTCAACTGTTTTGTAATCAAGCTCCTCTCCTTCCGTCCCGTATCGTTCCTGTGATTGTAACTCCCCTTTATTTGTGTTTTGGGCATTGTCAATTATTTGCAGTTAAACAAACCTGGTCCCATGTGACTTCTCAGGTTTGAACACTGTAAACCGGCAAAAAACGAGGAGCCGCCCACACCACAGATGCTGCCGCTGCCCTCCGCCCCGCTGGCCGGCCCGTCAGACCCAGAACCCAGTGGGCCAACACCTGGCACAGGGGCACAAGACTGGGTCAACGCTGCTGAGTTTGTTCCAGGACAGCCGTACTGTGGACGGGGTAAGTGACTCACATTATTGATGCTGTCATTTAAACACCATCTCCTATGTAGGGACAACCTTTTTCATGATGTCCTATTTAATGCTTTGTGATTTGATCCCTATGTTTTACTTTATGAAATCATCCAAACATTTGTGACATCAGTTCACAGCCACCTGCGTTTATTTAACTTCTATCCAGTTTATTTTTATCAGCAACAGGCAGCTGTTCACATCACATATTCAAATCCCANGATTTTATTACGTTAATAAAAATAATTTTTAAGAACAACTGTAAATTGAGTAGAAAGTTGTATTTAAAAGTCTCGTTCAAGTTTTAGGTGGCGGGACATGGAAGAATCAGCAAGTTAAGTCTAAATGACAACAATATTTATCAATTTTTTGTCTACAGGTAGAACTAAAAGTCGATAATTTATCTTTTTCCTGTGGGCTGTACTCAAGTCAGCTGAACAAGAAGCCTTAATGACACTTAAAGGATGCCACATAGCTTGCAGACCAGACTTCACTGCCACGTTAAAGTTTAAAGATCGGTTGCAGCTGCCTTTTCATATAGCTACATACCCTCCTGAGCTGGTACCAGTTCATTTTCTAAATTTAAACCCTGGTCCCTGTGGTTAAAAAGCAGTTCCTGCAAAGGTTCTCAGTTCCTTGGGAAAGTTTCTGAAGTGGAAATGCAGCTTAAGTGCACTAAATAAAAGTTTAGTTCAAGTTGTGTTTTCAGATTTTCATCAGTTGCAAACACGACAAGTCGTATGTTCTCTGACTAACTTACCAAAATAAATTTGTCTTTGTCTCTAATAATGACGCGTCCCTCTTGTCCAGCTGAGCCAGTGAAGGTGGAGAGCACCGGCCCTCTCATCGAGGAGTTTGACAGCGACACGGCACAGAACAACAAACAGCTGAGGAAGCAGCTCTGCCCGTACGCCGCTGTCGGAGAGTGCCGCTACGGAATCAACTGTGCCTATCTCCACGGAGACGTGTGTGATATGTGTGGCCTTCAGGTGCTCCACCCCACTGACAGCAACCAGCGCTCAGAGCACACTAAGGTAACCCACACGACCTCAATGTGCATTCACATTAACAATGCTGGTCGGGGGAATTCATTGTCCTACTGCCATACGCGTCCTGCAGTCCTTGGATTTATTAGAGGGTGAGGGAGGGGGGTGGGGGGTATAGCATGAAGCAGAAATAATAGAACTGACACATTTCCTCATCTATTCATCCTCGTGGTGACTGTTCTGTGAGGAGCCTGCATTTTTGAAGAGCAAGTGATTGTATTGACTTCTGACTCTTTTGGAGTTGTTTAAACTACAGATACAGAGAAGAGGTTCTTCTCTCACAAATCATCTCAGGCTGAGACCTGAATTATTTTGAGTGAAGAGTTAAAAAAATATATCTTTTTCTATATCTACACTTTGTGCATGCCCTCTGTTGCTTTGTGTGCCAGAAACAACAACAATGGTGGCTACATACCAGTTTTTCTACGTTGGGCGTGCACTGCTGTGTCTAATAACAAGCTTGCAGCTTAATTTAGCATCACCGTATCGCATCACCTACATTCAGAGGCATCACCTACATTGTCTACTGCATTCTTCTCTGGTATTGACAGATCACTGGTGTAATTTTTATTGCCACCTACTGGCCCTGCTTGCTTGTTTGAGCCCTTGTAGTCACTTTTGTGTTCTCGTCTGGATATTTAGCAAATCCAAGGTCATGTGGACGGAGATATTTTAACAGAGGAAAAGGCCTTAGACAGTAACACTTAAATATGTCTTTTTAAAGTCTTAAATATGATCCACAAAGTCCAGCTTGAGTTACACATCTTTCAAATATTTCCCAATCATTGTTATTTTATTCCATCCACAACAATCGCATGGTGAACATTAGCTCAATGCTGCTATCATGACAAAGTCATCTGCAGGGAACATGTGCTTAACATGTATTAACCTGGTAAATGCAGTGTTGCTGGATGATGTTGAGCCGCACGGGAACTTGAGCCTGGTTCGACTTTCTGCCTGACAAGAACCACAGCTGTGTCAATACAATGGTCTAAGTTCAAATGAATGTAGAGGGCTGTTTTTGTTTTCATGTTAATCAAGTACTACTGCCGCTGAGCACAGTCCGAGCACATCACACAATCTAGTCAGACGTTTATTAAAACATCTGAGGTTGAATGAAACTCTGATCAGGATGATTGAGCTGTTCCCTCCCCTAGGCGTGCATTGAGGCCCATGAGAAAGACATGGAGATTTCGTTCGCCATCCAGCGCAGCAAGGACATGATGTGCGGTGTGTGTATGGAGGTGGTGTTTGAGAAGGCCAACCCAAGCGAGCGCCGCTTTGGCATCCTCTCCAACTGCAGCCACTGCTACTGTCTAAAGTGCATTCGCAAGTGGAGGAGCGCCAAGCAGTTTGAGAGCAAAATCATCAAGTGAGTCATTTGTTATTGACAGTGAGGGTTCGGATAGTGAGTGTTTTTTCTCCGGAATAATTTGTTTTTGTTAGTTGAAAGACTGAAGTGTCTTTGTTTCTGCAGTAAACTGTCGGCTCCATAGCTCTCAGACTAAATAGTAAATAATTTAAAATCTATATCTGGTAGATTTCCCAAGGAGATTGTCTAATAGATATTAAGGGAAGTACTTTTTTAGCAGTTTTTTTTACCCCCTCTCGCACCTTGAATGTTTTAGACATCATGCACGGCTTCTCTCAAACTTAGAAAATATTAATGAGCAGCTGCAGGAATCGAAATAATTTGTGAACATCATATCAGAAGCTTAAAATCTTAGTAATGGGGATTTGAGGCCACACTTTCAGTGGTTATTTCTCTGTGATCCGGGCTCCAGTGTAAAGCAGCGGTGTAAGTTCTTTTTGACATTTTGTGCTGAGGATGTCCTAACTATGATGTTCTTGGGCTCCTTTGATTTTTTTTTTTTCTGCAGGTCTTGCCCAGAGTGTCGAATCACATCCAACTTTGTCATCCCCAGCGAGTACTGGGTGGAAGATAAGGAAGACAAACAGAAACTCATCCAGAAATACAAGGACGGCATGGGGTACACAGACTTTTTTTTTTATGTACTCTGGGACTGTAGAGGATACACATCCATATTCTTAGTACATGTACCTACAGCAGTAGCAGTGTCACTGCCTCTCTGAAGCATGATTTCTCTTTTCCTTTAATAAAAAGAGGCATTTAATTTTCTCTCTGTCTTATCTAATATCCACTCTTCTAAAGCTGTTTTACTAAAAAAAACAGCAATTTGATTTTCAGCAATTTCCATTCTCCCTGCAGCATGGAGGAGAGAGATTCTGAGTAGAAAGCTGTTGTGGGTGGATGTGCTCAGAGTCATACAGGAGTGGGATGCAGAATCTGTGGGAGTGGGCAGTAATGGTGGGAAGAAAAAAAGCTGTGCAGACCTTCACTCTGATATTTTGCTTTCATTCAATGAAAGAAAAGCTCCGCTGAGAACTGATTCACCTCCTAAAGATTCTAATGTATGATCTGCGTTCATTTGGAGACCTGATCTGACCTGATGCGTTTGTATTCTGCAGGACTAAACCGTGTCGATACTTTGACGAGGGCCGTGGAACATGCCCTTTTGGCTCGAATTGCTTCTACAAGCATGCCTTCCCTGATGGGCGGCTGGAGGAAGCTCAACCCCAGCGTAGACAGACGGGATCGAACAGCAGAAACCGGGTAACACTAGCCCCCTGGCATTTCAACAGAGTGCTCTTAATTGACACAGTACATCAGCTTTACCCAGATAGTTTCAAATAGTTTAATCATGGGGGCATTAACTATGTGTACCTCTAGCGGTACCATAGCATCACCTCTTCAACTGTGGTGCCCTCTGCTGGATGAAGAGAAGAGGTAACGAGAAAAACAGGAACACTCCTGGCGTCCAAGAAAAATGGATAACCCTGCAATAAATACTACTTTACTTAAAATAGTAAAGTAGTATTTATTGTCATATAATTACTTTATATGTTGAGTCAGTGTTGGGAACACATTTATAATGTATGTACCATTGACCAGTATAACGTCCTTTAAAGCTGCAGCCTCAAAAATCAATATATATAACAAGTGTGGTGTTAGAGGTTGTGTGATATTGCATCACAAAATATAAAGAATTATTAAATTTGCAATGTGTTAAGCGCCTCAATGCATCATCACTTTATGTTGTAATAATTATTCTTCCTAATCCAACATATCTGTGGCAACTTTGACAAACATGAATTTGTCAGAGCAGAAAAACTTTCTGATGTATGTGAATATAAATTTTGTGTCAAAACATCTGCAGTGTCAGACTAAGGAAACTAAGGAAATTGTATGAGCTGTTGTGGAGATTGTGGAGTACTTGACAGTTTTCAGTGCTGCAAGCCTCACCCCAAAGGTTTCTATACTAATGTTAAGTACTGCCCCACCAGGAGGAACTTTTTGGGGGGTACCAGGGTTTCCTGCAGGGGGTCATTGTCCGAGGAAAAGTTCCTATGGATGAAACACATCTTTTACACAAAATGTAACTAAAGGTCAAATTTAAGATTTCTTCATTGGTTGATTGATTCTTGATTAGGTTAAGTTTTGAGATACCGAGATATGATTTTTGGGATGGGAAGTCAAAATGATTTGTTCAGGAAAATGAAGCTGTGTCGTATCTGACATGGTGTCATATATTCCACTGTCCTCCTCAGAACTCGAGGCGAACACCGCTGTGGGACATCTTTGACGAGAGGGAAAGCACCGACTCCTTCGACAACGAGGACGAGGAGATGGTGACGTTCGAGCTGAGCGAGATGCTCCTCATGCTGCTCGCCGCAGGAACCGACGACGAGGTGACAGACTCAGAGGACGAATGGGACTTGTTTCACGAGGAGCTGGACGATTTCTATGAAATTTACCTATAGCAGCCCCCCCCACTATCCCCCCCCCCATGCCCCCATGTATACTAGACACTAGAATGGACTGTCTTGTGCGAGTGATGGACAGTAGCTTTTTTTCCCCACCCTCTGTATTGTGGCAGTGCCTTTCAGCAGGCCATTAATAAATGAACTTGATAAAAGATAAAAGGAAAAAAAAAAATCCAACACGTCAGTGCGCTCGTGCTAAACATTTTCTAGACATCTATCCTTGTGAGTCTATCTTGTGCGGTTCATGTTAAAAGGAAAAATAAGAAAATGAACTCGATATAAGATTTAACGAAAATTATAACTTTCTTCAAGTATTGCTAATAAAAGTTGTTAAGTTCATTTGTGGGTGTGGGTTTGACTTGTTTATCATCTACCCAGGTGTTTGTACATAATACTGAGACTCTGAGGATGCACTCGAACTTACTCGGCTCCATGTACTGTAACAGTGATGGGCATGTTGTAAGATTTTACAAACGGTTTCTGAAGGCCGAAATGTTTTTTTTTTTTCTTTATTAAAGTTGCTGATAGCCAATATATTGTGCTGATGTTTAATAAATTGACCATAATCACTTTCATGTTGTACTGGAAAGTATTTTCCGTGTCCCCCCCTATAGAGGTCTTTACTTTCTTTTTCCAGCATTTAAAAAAAACCCTTTTATGAGACATTTAGATCATATACACAAACTGTGTGTGAAACTCATGTAGGGTTGTGTCTTTGCACCGTGCGGCAGAGTGAAGTCTATAGCCCTCATCGTCAGGTGGCCATCTTTGTAACTGGGACACTTCAGTCGCTGAGTAGCTCATTGAATTAGTTACTCAAAGAAAAATTCAAACATGTTGTAAAAGTCAGGAGGACACTCACTGGCTGGAATATATGGAAACAAATATGACCCGAAAATATTTTGAGCTTATGAAATGAAGTTTAAAGTTTATGAACGTGTAAAATCGAAACTGGTTGTCAAAATAACGAGAAAAAGTTTCAAAACTACATAAAACAATGATTGGGTTACACAAATCCTCTCTTTTGCAGTAATTTGTATGTTAACACAACTTTGTTTTTATCTCATAAACTCAAAATTGGAAACAACGGAAATGTTTCCTGCCCGTAGAGCGCTGCTCAGTGCTGCCTCTGGTGATAGAAAGCTGTATTGCAGCAATACTACTGAACAAAATACACTGTATCTTTAAGAGGAACACGTTTTATGAGCTGCTCAATGGCTAAAGTGTCTCGGGTACAGGGATCTGTGATTGTGTGACAAAGTGGCTAAGAGCCACGTGATCCCCACCTTCCTCTTGTCGGCACACCCTCTGTAAAGCCATTCAGTTGGTCTGGGAAACATACAAAGTGATTTTTCTGTGCAGCTAAGGTCAAATGTTATGTTAACGTAAGGTTTTCCAGATCCGTTTTATCGTTCTGTGATTCCTACCTGTAGCTTTGGGTCAGACATTCATCAGCAAACTGCTTTCAGTCAAATGGACAAAATAAAGATGGAGGGAAATGTTCTCCCTTTCACTATTCTGAGTCGCAGTGTCCGCAGGACGTCTGTGATACCACAAGACAATTCTAAAAGGTCAACACTTGTGACTAAAAAAAAAAACTCATGAGCAGACTTACAGTGCACAGGGTCAAGGAGCTGAGAGACATGAAGCGTGGACTCTGTTCTGTTTCTGCTTCTTGCATTGTAAGCGTCGCTGTTAAGCCGCTCATCCACTGACTCCTGATGGCGAGTCTCCGCTCGTTGAACTCCATTGGAATGCATATGTTTATACTGATGTGTGTTTTCTATGTTCCACAGCCATCCATCCTAACTTGAAATTAAAGTTTATTATCAACCTCTACAGTGTGCCGTCTCATCTGTTTTAATCGGTGAGTACAACACCGAACTCAGCTCAGATAGTTGTTGTTGTATTTGCCCGATAACATCTCCCTCTGTAAGCTCTGCGACCAATACTGTCAAAATTCCCATAATGTACGATCATTCCTTTATTTAGAGACAGTATTAGCAGTTACAATCATCACTATAGTAAAGTACTGATCCACGTACTTTTACACCTCTTTTCCGTAAAGTCTTTCCTGTCAATCATAATCGGAACACTGGCGGAGGATGTGGCTGTTATCTGTTACTCATCAGTGGTGATGGAACATGCAAAGATTTGAACTACAGCCAGGTTCATCACCCGTGTGGGTCCCCTGGAAACATTTCTGTTGCGTTTCTGTATTTGCATGTGTTGTAACCTTTTGCAGCGCATGTGTCGTCAAAGTGATGAAGTTGTTTTCTTAATATCCACTGTTTCTTTCTATTTGCATGTGTTTTTTAATCATCAGTGCTTTGAGCTCTCTCAGCCACCGTAACTCTAGGGGGTTTCCAACCAAAGAGTTGTTGCAGTTTCCTGTATATAGTTAATCATCAGGGTTTTTAAAAAAATGTCATTGTGGTGGACTAATGCCAGGCAGCAGCTGTTCTCCCCCTATCATTTGAAAACTCATTTGGAGTTCTAAAAGGAGCAACTAATCTGATTTAGATATTTTGGGTTTCATGCATGTTTTTCTCTTTCTATTTCCATGGCAACAAGTTTCACTTGGCCAAATTGAGAGTCTGCTCTCAACTCTGAACGTTTCACCACACACATTCTGTTTACACTGTGGTTAGGTTCTGACTTGTTATCGCTGGCATCACTCAATACGAAACAGCGGCACTCTAAATAAACAGCTGATGACAGGAGTCTTTGAATTCTGCATTTGCAATATTATTATGCTTTATATGCTCTGCCTGAGAGGTCCACAATTTTTAATTTTAAAATAGTTTCTTTGAATTGATGTAACTGTTATTTTTTGTTTCATGTCTTCACATGGCGTCTATTGGACTTCTATCCGTCCTGGGAGGGGGACCCTCACATGTGTCTCTCTGAGGTTTCTGTTTTTTCTCCTGTTAATAGGTTTTTATTTGGTCATTTTTCTTTCCCACACTTGTTAAGGACAGAGGGTGTCACACTTTGTTAAGCCCTATGAGACAAATTTTGATTGATTGATTGAACATTCAGAATATCTTGTTCAGAATGAACAGACACAGAAACTGTTACAATAAAAAAACCCAGCTCCCTCAAGTCTAAAAATAAAACTCACACACACATACAGAGTTCAGTGAGGGCAGCCCTTCGCCCTTGGAGTCTTCCATGGCAACAGCACCTGTGTGTTCCATTCAGCCAATCAAATTCACCCCTGACTCTTGAGAATCCGAGTCACGTGACCAGCAGCACAGCCTTTGACCCTCCTCTATGTTATTGTGATGATTTTATTTTAATATTTTATTTCTTTAATGGAAGCAGAGATTTCAGTCCAAAGGTTTTGGACATCAGTCATGATTCAGCCAATTAGTTCCAGTGCTGCTCTCTGATTGGTCAACTCAGCCAATTGCTTTTTGTCTGTTCTTTTGTTTTTAATGGTTCTTTCTTATTTGTTGTTGTTTCTGGGGAATTAGTCAGATGTCATCTCCTGATGACTCTGACTGAAGATGGTCGGAGTAGATATGAGCATCACTTTGACCACCTGGAGGTGCTGATGGAAACATGTCATTCAAAAACACAGAAATAAAACTAACCATAGCAATAATGATAATAATGATAATAAAAGATGACAGGATGTATGCATGAAGAGAACTGCTCCTGGCCTGTAAACACACAGGCAGGTGTTGGAGACATGTTAAGTCCATTCCAGCTGCAGGAGTCCGCGCCTGTCTTTGCGCATGTCTGTGCCTCCACCTTGGAAAGCATCGGGGAGGAAGGAAAGAAGGAGAAAAGGAGGCGACCGCACAAATACAATGGTCTCTGAAACTGGCAACGACAATCTGAAGGCCGACTATCTCCAGTACGAAGCGAGCTACTCCCCCGACTCATCCTCTCCGGAAGCCGGCCAGCTGAGCAGGAGGCGGGACACCCAGACCACCAGCGGCAGCATCAACCCGGAGGAGAGAGGCAGCATCCAGCCCCTGGTCTCCTCTGCCACGGCCGCCTCCTGCATCATGACATCGGGGGAGTTCATGCAGAGCGCCCCGCTGCTGGCGCACAGGTCCAAGAGGAGCATGCTGTACAAGGCGCTCTGCTTCCTCCTGCTCGTCTTCCAGGGCGGCGTCCTGGACTTCTACCTCATCATCTTCACCGACCTGTACTGGTGCTCGTGGATCGCCACGGACCTGGTGGTGATCTCGGGCTGGGGCATCTTCTTCATGAAGAACGCGCGGAGCAAGCGGGAGCGGGCCTGCGGCTTCCACCAGAAGAGCTCGATCTTCGGCTGCAACCTCGGCGAGTTCACCTACGCCTACCTGGCCTGGCTCATCTATGTCATCGCCTGCACGCCCAAGGTGGTGCTCATCCTGGAGACCTCCATCCTGGACCTGGTGGCGCTGAAGGTGCCGTGCGGCGCCACCGGATTCAAAATCGTGGTGCTGCTCTCCGCGCCGCTGCTTTTCTGCCTCATCAACTCCATCATCGAGGACCTGAACGGGGCGACGCGGCACCACTCCCACAGCTGCTTCATGGGCACCTGCCTGGACCTGCTGGACAGCTTCACGCTGCTGGAGATGCTGCTGAGGAGCGAGATCCCCACCGCCTACCTCAAGTACACCGTCATCTCCGTGTACTTCGTGGCCCTGGCCGTGCCGGTGGTGTGGCTCTACGAGCTGACCGCGTCGGAGCTGCGCTGCCGGTGGCTGTGGGCGCGCTTCTTCACGGGCCTGCTGGTCAACGCTCCCCTGCTGGTGGTCCGGTGTTTCCAGGTGTACGTGTACGACATGCCCGTGTCGGTGTTCATGTTCAAAAACGTGTTCTTCCTGGCGTGCGCGCTTCTGGAGCTGGTGGAGCAGTGCGCGGCGGTGCGCGGGGTCCGGAGGCTGGCGGGCGGCGGCAACACGGCCCAGTTCTCACACTGCGTGTCCGAGAACGACATGTGTCCGCACGGATACGTCAACACCCTGGCCGTCACCCAGTCGTAGAGCCCCCGGGGGGTTTGGGGCTGGTGCTGGGGGCGCGGGTGCGGGTGGAGTCGTGCACCGCGCTTGGCACAGCTGAATCTGAATCACAAGTCAAACCTCAGCTCCGGATAGTGGCTTCTTTAAGATGAGTGATGACCTGAAAAACAGACAAGCAACAAACCCACATGTGAGGTATTTAGACAGTATTGTAGATCCTTCCTCACAGAAGTAATTTAAGTATTTTTCTATTTCCTATCTTCCAGTGCTCTACACAGTGGCAGGGCTGGATTCACCTGGATTCAAAAGCCCCCCTGACGTCCCCACCTTAGTTTTGGTCATTGAATTGAGACAAAAACATCATTTTCTTTCATACACTTTACATTCTGGGCTGTTTTGCTGTTCTAATGACAGAAATATAGGCCTTGCAGAAAGACCATGGGGCCCCAACAACAGTACAATGTTGGTGGATTGTTTGAAGCGCTCAATATTCAAAAGCAACATGTCCCTGTTAACTGAAGAATCAGCGGAGCAAACCACAAATAACAACGATCAGTGGAACAACAAAGAATTCCTACAAGAACCATCTGTGTGCGTTCTTTAGATTATTCAGTTAACGGGACGTTCCCTTGTGGAAAGATGTGCTTTTTAAAATGTGGTGGGCAATGATTGAATCCCACCTGCCTCCTTTGTATTTGGGTGCGGCCTGAAATCTCAGAGATAAATATACAACCATTAATGCAACTCAGTTTTCTTAGTCATATATTTGTTTTTAAGTTGCAAATAGGGCTGTGGTCAAAATTTCTCAAGAACAAGTTGCCGTTTGCCAGAACTCTGCAAACATGTTCGTCGTCAGCTGTATTTGAAGTGCCACCAAATACCAGCTGCTCGGCCCAGTTTATCTGATACACAGCCACAACGTAACTGACTGAAACCTCGGAGCTGACTTATCATCTGAGGTTTTGATTCGGAATTCTGACGACCTTTCTCAATAGCTGGAGAATGGGTTTACACTTTTTTGGACGAGTCTAGAAAGCATCATCAGTACCAGCCTTACAATGCTCCTTTTTTTTTTTTTTTCTCTCCGACCGGTCATCAGGTGCTAAAGTCGAACGCCGACGCCTGCAACACCTTACAACGAACGGAGGACAGACAAGTGTACTGCAACAGACCTTGTTACGTTGTGTGTTTTAAATCGGAGAGTTTCCCCACTGCACTTGAATGAAAGTACAGAGAGACAGCGTCTGGACCGTGTGGAGTGTACGAGACGTAAAGTGCAATTTGAAGAATCCTGACTCTACTCGTGTGCTTCGGTGTTTTCTATTGATGACAGTGTTGTCTGCTGGTGTTTGCTGCTTCTAAATGCTGTGTCCGGTCCTGAGATTAGAGTTAGACATGTGTGTGTAAATTGGTGCCATGCATACAGACCTAAAGACCCAACAGTGCCACGACAAACAGGTTTTTCTACAGCCCTTTTAAACGGTTACCCCTGGCCAACAGGAGTTTCTGCTGGTTTTGCTGGCTCTGCTACTGTTCTACTACTTACGTCACGTTTGGGATCAGGAGTCCCGACGAACGATCACTGGGGACTCTTCTCTCTTTCACATGTCAGTTTCAAAGCCTAGTTCTCTCCATCACTCGAGGGACCAGCTCTGTCATTGGCCGACAATATTTCTTGTCTGTTAAAAAATCCAAGCCATGTGTCATTTTCAACACCTGTAGTGGTGGGACCGCATGGAATCGCATTGCTCTTTAAGGTTAAGAAATAGTATTCATGAAAAAAGAGTCTGAGTAACAATCTGAATCCAGTAAATCAGAACTTTTACAGTATGTACTAATCAATATTTTATATTAGCTGTGTCTTACATGAGTATTTTGGTCATAGTAAGGAACCCAGACAGATTTATCCCTAAGCTTCTTTTCGCTCATTCCGCCCTTGACTCCACTTCCATTCCATCCACTGACATTTCAAGCAGACAGCAGTTTTTTTTTAGTAAAATTCTATGGGATGCAATGTGGTCTCGTAGGCGACGCAGGATTGTTGAGAGAAGTGATGTTGTGGTACCTGCTGTGCTTACATACACGCCTGTAGAGAAGTTTTTTTGGAAATCTTTACCTCCCAAAAAAGTCCCTGCTTGGTGGTAGTACTTTATGAAAAGTTGAACCAAGATGCCTGTTTAGTCAAGTGATAGTTTTCGATGTAGCCTACAGCAACATTATTCACAGTTGTATTGAGCTTAATATTTTAGCCATACCTTCCTTTTTTTTGTATACATCTTAGTCAATCTCCACATAGCTCGTACAATCTGTTGCCTTACTTTAAGTTGAGCATTTCAGTATTCATTTTGAATACGCTTTGTTACAAGTGCTTGTCTCTTATACTGATCATCAGCAGCACGGTTTGGTCATCATCATCATAGTTTTTGTATTATCATCTTCATTACCATCCCCTGGTGGACTGGAGTGGAATGGCTTGTTGTAGCAGTTGGTCAGACATCAGTCTCATCTCTCCTGGTGGAAAGACTACGGTGGAAACAAACAAACCTTGGACTTCCTTTTAAAAAGTTCCTGGGACTAAAAGTTCCATGCGTAAATGGTCGAGTAAAGTTTCCAGAACAAAACACTGCAAGAACTTAGGGTTGAAATGCAGCTTTTAGTCATTGAAATTGTTGGAGAATGTCACAAGACACCTTAGAAGAAACGTTGAAGTGATCAGTGGGGCCACCAGAGTGTATCCAAACATCCACTGGTGAATTGAGCTGGAATCAATCTGTGCCTGGTGCAGCTTGGCACAGAGACAACACTGGCGATTCCAAGCTCCGTCTCAGTACTTTATTTACCATAGTAGATTTACTACACTGATATCAAGCTTACAGTAATGTCAGGTATTAGAGTGTATGTGACTTAAGAGTATGTACAGTCAAGAAATTGTGCAATATGGGTCAGAGGGGGTTCAAACTTATTTTAGTGCCTATTATTTATGGAGTTATAGATTATAGAGTTATGAATGCACGTTGATTCATTATGCTGTATTTAATCACAGTGAGGGTATCAGCGCAGGGGGGACTGTTTCAGGCAGGCTCAGTGAACGGATGTGAACAAATATTACATTTGAATTTAAAGGATTGCCTTGAAAAATCTAAATGAGTGATATGGTTAAAGAGAAAGTTCAGCGATACAGTCATTTTTATGTTTCCAGGCTTTGTCCGAGGGGAGCCCCACACCCTCAGAAATCACCTCCGTCACACGATGAACGCGGAGGGGTTCCGCCTCGATGAGGGGAAAGCGAGGTCATGAATGTTAGCTGGCTCTCAGACAAGTTCTGCTCCGATGATTCTGGCCTGTGAGCGAACCCAGTGTCACCTCGCACCCACCAGGATTAAAAGCTCAGTTAGATCCATTTAAAATGAACTGAATCATGGTTAAAAATGACATTGTGAGCTTCAGTCCAAGACTCATTCTGTATTCACCTCCACTTGAATCCTACAAAGACAATGGGTGTCTAATGTAAAACTCTGATAACTGAGGTTTCCAGCTATTGGCTGCTGCTGCACAAGGAGGATAAGTGTGAGAGGTGACTGTGTATTTGACCTATGCTGAAGTACAATCCTTAACCTGCATCTCATGGAGCTGAGTTGATTATAAATCCTCCCTCTTCCCCTGACACCGACAGTCACTAGGATACAGGGGAGGGTGTCACCAGGTGTCACGGTTGACTCCAGCTAACATGTTGTCGGTGTCCATCCTCCAGCTGCCTGAGGTCATGGGTCAGCTGTGATTTCAGAACGATGGAGAAAAGGGAGAGGATTTCAGTCAGCTCAGCTTTAGGCAGTGCAGTGGAATGTTTAGCTGAAATAATAACTATTATTATTATGTAGAACAATGAATCAAATAGTTCAGAAGATCTACTTTGCTTTGTTTCTTGAGCTTTCAGCCACATCTCACAGTCTTCTCCGGAGTTTCCATTCGTGTCATCATTTGTCCAAACTATGGAACAAAGTGGTTTTAAATGGGAGGGAGCATGGTGATCTCTGCTCATTTCTGTCTCCAGACTCTTGGTCAACTGATGTGGCGTCACATGTGACATCCTGATGATGTCATGCACTACAGTCTTCCTCAGTTTTCTACCTTTATAAAAACTTTAATGTCACATGATGAAAGCAGAGGTAGCTCCATGACAAAGACAGTATGCACGGATGTCGACCGTGAGATGTGGTTGAAAACTCTGTAAAGTGAGCAGATTTTAAGATTATTTTTTTATTATAACTCATTTCAAGTCAAAGGTTAAAGCCTGAACTCTCGCTCAAATGTTGTTGGTTGATCCCCTCTGCAAACACCAGGGGGCTGCTGGGACACTGACCCCGATGTCTGACGTGTCTGTGGACGGTTACAGATCATGGAGGTGCTGCTGCACAAACAATGTAACGTGCTGACTGAGAGCAGGACGGCATCTGATTGTTTGTTGCTTCTCATGTATTTTGCCAAAATTTTAGCAATGTTATATTATAGTATTTATTATAGTATTTTATATAACTTCCTTGTGCCAGTAATTTAAACCTTTGCTTATGCATTGTGAGGCTCTCTGAAAACAATCTTTATTTGGATTTGCACATAAACGTCACTATCCCAACCACACAAGCGGGACCATTTATTTACATGGAACTTTAAACTGACGTATAGTGGACCTTTAACCTTTAACCTGCATGAATAAGCACAGTTACACTGAAACTACCAAAGGCTTACATGGATGTGGCTATTCAGACTAGCCAGTCATGCTAAACAGATTCAAATGTTTGTTGTTTTTGGCTGTGTGCACTTAAAAACACTCACATTTTTAAATATATGGGTTTCCCTTTTTCTTCAAACTTGTTTACAGGGAAAGGACATTGCTATTGTTTACACATAGGACTATACTCTGTACTATAAAGTCTTGTGGTGTATATCTGTACCGATATAATCAAATCTATGTACTGTAGATGTAAATCAGAGTATTATGTGGTTGAAACCTGAAATAAATCGGAGGAAATTGCTGTAAAACGTGTTTATTTATGAAGCATTCATTTACAAAGTAAGATTTGATTCAGTATTTAACAAAGAAAACTTTGACATGACACGCTGATGCAAATGTTATTTGTGGTTTATCCTCATTCCAATAATCACCTCACAATATTTCCTTCAATGCAGAGAAAACAAAAATGCAAATTAAACCTCACATTTTGTCGTCAGCTGCTCCGAACAAAAGACTAAAGGCTTCAAACTAAAAATTAGACATGGGGCCGAATAACCCCCCTTGTTTCGTCTAAGAATATTAACTGAAAATATCAAAGAACCTAAAACTTGATTTTAAGTAGAAATTCTTTAAGTGCTACTTTTCTCAAGATTGTGTGAGCATACAAATATTATCTTAAAGGTCCAGTGTGTAAGATTTAGGTGAAAGGGAAATATAATATAATTCATAGATATTATTTCACCCCGTCAACACTCCATAGGATGGATCTTATTAAAAATGATTTATATTGGAAATGTAGAGAAAAACATGGCACACACACATATTATAGGATTGTTTTAAAGTGTCTCCCCTGTGGAGAAATGTCCTGGATTATATGGATACATAGCGAGGATGTGAACCTCCCAGATCCCAAACATTGTGTCTTCTCGGAGACAAAACAATGGTGCTGCATTTCAATAAAAATGTATTTATATTTAGAATATTAAAAACAGGCCTGATAACATGTGCCCGGATGATTCTAAGGTGTTGGCAGGAGCTGGACAATCCCATTAAATATCCAATAAAAACTTTGAATTAAAAAAAAAAAAAAAAACACAGTCTCCAAATAACCTCATTTCCATCTGCGTGTGTTTGACAATTGTTTCTATATTTGGTTTTACCCCATCGACAGCGATATGTTGTGGTTTCTCTCCTGTGACAAATGTACTTATTGTAAGTCGCTTTGGACAAAAGCGTCTGCAGAAAGCCCTAAATGTAAATGTCAATGTTTTTTGATCCCATGCATCAAATTTTATTTTTCCTTCCTGTTCCAAGAATGATCAGACTGGGCCAGATCCAGGTGCCTCATCCACAAGTCTACATGTACACTTCACCCGTTACTGTGTCTTTTTATATGTTCATGATCAGATTGATTCTATAACATATTGATAATTATTATATTGTTTTATGTGCACTTTGCTGGCCACAAGTTATAGAATAGTGTTGTCCAATCCCTCACAGTGTTCCGAGTTCTTGGTTTATCTTACGTTCTGAATTTATGGTGCTCACAAAAGTAATGTATTTAAGTCATTAAAGAGTGTTTACCACGCCCCACCACAAGGTGGCGCAATCACCTTCACTCATTGTCATGGTCAAGCGTGCGAGCGCCCTTTGACCCGAGACGCGGCCGAGAGAGCGCCCCCTGCAGGGAGTGAGCTGACGACCATTGGTAAGAAAACAACAGAAAGGTTGAGAATCAATGACCGACGGCCTCAGAGCTCTGTCTAACAAGTGTCTCTCTCGTCAGGAACGAGTGATGTGCGCCATGTTGGAGAAGAGGAGCCGTTTCACCGCGCGACGCCTCAGAGAAACTCCGGTAAGCGGCGCTGCTACATGCTAAGAGGCTAAGGCCTTGTTTGCTAGTTGTGGATTGGAGCTCGTCGTGTAGGACATGTCTTTCACTGAGACACTTTAGTGAAACCAGTCGGAGCTGCAGGGATGTTTCCTGATGTTTGAACTCGCCGTGGCACTGTTTGTGTCAGCGTGAACAGTGTACACTGACTTTAAAAAGATCGCTAGCTAAGGTAGCGCGAAGCAAATGCATGGAGTCCATGATACGGAGCGAGCAAACCTATTACTCTACTGTAAAATCCCTTTGGTCCATAATTTCTGACAAAGGTTTGTACACTTGAACTCAGGACCATCCTGATTGTTCACTCACTCAGTATCAAGCATATTTACTGTGTCATTTTGGAGAAATTCAGCCTCAAAGTTCATTATTTTGAATTTAAAAAGGCATTATGCTCTTTATTTACTCTACTGTAAAATCCCATTGATCTAATTATTATGTAACGTGAGTGCTAGCTGGGTAAGCTAACATTGTTGCTACAGTAGTTAGATGAGAGAAACAGAGGTGGCACGTGATGCATGTTTGTGTTGATATGATGACAGGTTGTGATAATTCTCGTTTTCTGAGATAATTGAGATGCACGCAATGTGTTATGTTGCACTGTAGTTGTTTAAATATTCATCTTGGTTAAAAAGAGTAATTTGATACTGTTCATGTATGGATAAGAAGAGTTAAAAAGGAGAAATGTGCTGCAGTTAAAAAGATAAATAGTGATTAAAAGAGCTGTTAATAAATAAGTGCATATACAGTTGTGTTCAAAATAATAGCAGTGTGTTTAAAAAAAGTGAGTAAAGCTCAAAATCCTTATAATAGCTTTTATTTCCATACACGCAAAAGCATTGGGAACACTGCACATTCTATTCCAAATCAAAACATGACGAAAAATGTATAAAATGTGTTATTACTTTACAGAAATTGAAGAAAAAGGAATATTAGGCTGTTCAAAAAAATAGCAGTGTCTGTATTTTTCTTATAAACTCAAACATTTACTGTATAAACTGAAAGATGCTTGAAGATTTAGCTTTCCTGTGAATAATTGAACTAATATTTAATTGTATAACCAGTGTTTCTGAGAACTGTGTTGCATGGAGTCGACCAGCTTCTGGCACCTGTGAACAGGTATTCTAGCCCAGGACGATTGTCTACATTCCAGAATCCCTCTGCAGTTCTCGGTTTAGCCTCATAAACAACATTTTTGATGTCAGCCCACAAGTTTTCTATTGGATTAAGGTCCGTGGATTGGGCTGGCCACTCCATAACGTTAATCTTGTTGGTCTGGAACCCAGATGCTGTGTTTGGGGTCTAACCCTTGTTGAAACACCCATTTCAAGGGCATCTCCTCTGCGGCATAAGGCAACATGACCTCTTCAAATATTTTGATCTATTCAAACTGATCCACGATCCTTGGTATGCGATAAATAGGCCGACACCATAGTATGAGAAACATCTCCATATCATGATGCTTGTGCCACCATGATTCACTGTCTTCACAGTGTACTGTGGCTTGAATTCAGTGTTTGGGGGTCATCTGACAATCTGTCTGTGGCCCCTAGACCCAAAAAGAACAATTTTGCTTTCATCAGTCCACAAAATGTTGCGTCATTTCCCTTTAGGCCAGTCACTGTGTTCTTTGAAAAATTGTAACCTCTTCAGCACATGTCGTTTTTTCAACAATGTGACTTTGCGGGGGCTTCTTGCTGATAGCTTGGCTTCACATAGGCATCTTATTGTTGCAGTACTCACAGGTAACTTTAGACCTTCTTTTATCATCCTGGAGCCGATCATTGGCTGAGTCTTCGCCATTTTGGCTATTCTTCGATCCATTCGAATGGTAGTTTTCCGTTTCCTTCCACGTCTTTCTGGTTTTGTTTACCAATTTAAAGCATTTGAGATCATTTCAGCTGAGCAGCCTATCATTTTCTGCACTTCTTCGTACTTTTTAATCAAAGTACGCTGTTCCTCTGAACAGAGTCTGGAGCGACCCATTCTACTCAAATTTTCAGAAAGAAATGCTCCATAACTAGCATGTACAACATTGGCTACCTGTTTGACACCTGTTTTTTCACAGGATGAATGACCTCACTAGTTGAACTCCACACTGCTATTATTTTGAACAAGCCGCTTTGAATTAATGATTCATTTACACAGAATCAGCAGCATGCGTGTCATGACTGTTGGGTCTGTTGGTTTTCTATAACCCTACTACACCTACTAGTAAATTATTTGCCAAGTAGAAATATAATTTCTACCAAAAACAGTGATTGATCTGGTTAGTGATGTTGGACTGCTATTATATTGAACACAACTGTATGTTAAAATATAAGTTCATGATGAATAATCGTCTTGGTGAAAAATACTTGTACTGTAAATGTATACAGACTCATTTACAATGACTTGAATGCTGTATATCCTGCATCTGAGTATAGGTATGGAAGATATTTAGAGTGAAAGTAAAATGATGCCATGTGATTGAATAGAGAGTGATGTTTATGTTTTCTGCACTCTGTGTGTTGAAGTTCGGAGGTGAGCCAGGAAGGACGAGCGACTCGGACGGAGCACGGTGTGGCCAGCTGTGGCATCCCTTTCCAAGAACCCCAGACATCATCTCACTTCACKCCGACACAGATAAGAAAATCACACAATATCTTTACATACACACCACAGAACGGACTGAACTCTTAACTTATGATAAAGAAGAAAGGACACTTTTATTTAAACTTTATTTTATTATGAAAGAGCTGTATTTGTTTGTATTTTTYAYGTTTCATACACTGCCAGAGGTTTGCTGTGTGAAGCAATAAATTGTCCACTTTAGCTTCATGCTCCCTCATTTGGATAACTTAGTGGTCCAACTCACCAAACTTAGTAAGAGTGTAGGTGCCAATAGTGTGTTCCTTCTAGTCAGGCTAAGGGCGCTACATAAAACTTGGCGAGCCAGCCAGGAGTTGGTTGAAATTTTTGGAACGTGAGGTTGAGCAGTGGGAAATTTTATTGCATTTTATTCCTGTGAACATTGATATCAATTAACTCACATAAGACTGTGGTACTAATACAAACACGGATACAGTTATTGAGTCACTTTTACTATTACTAATTACAATATCGCAGTAATAATTATGATATCAAATGTGCCCGTTATCAATCCCTGTTAATGAGGGAGTTTTTCTCTCCACAGTCTCCAAAGAGCTCCTCATTGTGGGAACTGTTGGGTTTCTCTTTATTTTGATTTTACGGTCCTGACCTTCTATGTAAAGTGCCTTGAGATAATATACATTATGATTTGGCGCTATACAGATACAATTGAATTGAATTATATCTGAAAATGTTAAAGTGGCCAATTCACTGCTTGTAAGTGGTGTAACTGGTAGTGATGTAGATGATGAAGTATTTGCTTACTTGGGACAGTATGGTAAGATTGAGAGGGTAATTAAAGTTACCAGCAGTAAAACTAAGTCCCAACACACAGCTATAGTGGAATATAGTTCAGGTGGAGCCATTGAGTATCTTTAAGATGCCCTACCTGTTGATAGACCCTCCAGTAACCTGAACATTGTCCACTACATTGAGCTCTTGTCTGAGCTGTACACAGCAGACAGAGGTTCCACCTTAACTCAGACTTACCTAAGTGTACTGAAGGATGTCGCTCAGCTAAGCGGAGCAGATTTTGAAAAGGTTTTGCTAGATGAACTAGCTAGGATTCAGGAGTCCACCATCTTTCATTATAATTGTACAATGTGTTTCTGTTGCTTTGTCCTGTACACGTGACATCCATTGCACGTCTGTCCGTCCTGGGAGAGGGATCCTGGAAAAACTGTAACAGATGGAGACCCGAATGACTCCACACGGAGGTCAGAAAGGTCACGACAGCCCCCTGAGTTAGGGAAAGCTTTAATGTCTTTTGCACAGAGAATTTTACAGAGCTTTAACCAAGCACTAGACACTATCGGTGACTATGACAGCCCCCAGATAAACCAGAGATCAGCTCATGAAGGGACTCATGCAGATTCAAGAGGGGAGGGTGGAACCCACATGGGTATTTAACCCATTTATGTAATTTAAGAGTGTTTACCACGCCCCACCACAAGGCGGCGCATCAGCTTTACTCATTGTCATGGTCAACAGTGATAGCGCCCTTTGACCCGAGACGCTGCCCAGAGAGCGCCCCCTGCAGGGAGTGCGCTGACGACCATTAGTAAGAAAACAACAGAAAGGTTGAGAATCAATGACCGATGGCCTCAGAGCTCTGTCTAACAAGTGTCTCTCTCGTCAGGAACGAGTGATGTGCGCCATGTTGGAGAAGAGGAGCCGTTTCACCGCGCGACCCCTCAGAGAAACTCCGGTAAGCGGCGCTGCTACATGCTAAGAGGCTAAGGCCTGTTTGCTAGTTGTTGATGGAGTTGTGTGGACATTTTCTGAAACCAGTCGGAGCTACAGGAATGTTTCCTAATGTTTAAACTCACCGTGGCACTGTTTGTGTCATTGTGAACAGTGTACACTGACTTAATTAGTGGGAAGCTAACGCCAATAGCGAGTGGTTATCCGCTATGCTAGCTCAGTTATTACCATAGACTGTATATGGTTATTACCTGTAATAACGTGAGTGCTAACTGGGTAAGCTAACATGTTGCTACAGTAGTTAGATGAGAGAAACAGAGGTGGCACATGATGCATGTTTGTGTTGATATGATGACAGGTTGTGATAATTCTCGTTTTCTGAGATAATTGAGATGGTTTCCATCATATACACAATGTGTTATGTTGCACTGTAGTTGTTTAAATATTCATCTTGGTTAAAAAGAGTCATTTGATACAGTTCATTTATGGATAAGAAGAGTTAAAAAGGAGAAATGTGCTGCAGTTAAAAAGATAAATAGTGATTAAAAGAGCTGTTTATAAATATAAATAAGTGCATTTATGTTAAAATATAAGTTCATGGTGAATAATCTTGGTAAAAATACTTATACTGAACTGTAAATGTATACAGACTCATTTACAATGACTTGAATGCTGTATATCCTGCATCTGAGTATAGGTATGGAAGATATTTAGAGTGAAAGTAAAATGATGCCATGTGATTGAATAGAGAGTGATGTTTATGTTTTCTGCACTCTGTGTGTGTGTTGAAGTT